CTGCCGCGGTGGTTTGAGACTAACCCCATCGGAATATTTGTAGTAGCATTTCTTCTTGGATGATAAACGTAACCAGGATAAAGGAAATCATGAACTTTTTTCGCGCAATCAGCGATAAGACCGTATAATTCTTTTATATCTTTTGACTCTTTTTTCCATTGTTTACCAGCATATTTGGAAACATTATCCAATTTTCCAATAGAATTGTCAGAAGCAATAGAAGAGGCAATTTGAGCTTGAATATTTCTTCTGTATATTACAAAACTATTTTGTGGACGTGGTATTTTTTGAGTTCTAATATTTTCGATAGGTGTAACCAACTCATAAAGAGGAATAACGGAGTTCTGTTGAATCTTAATAAGAGTTTCTTCATTAAAATAATTATCTATTATATTCTCAATCATTATCACATTTTTTGAACGGTAAAGTGGAGATAAGCGAGCATGACGTGAGAGCGGTACATCACCACGTGTTTCAAATGTATAATAAGGCATGTTTGACATAAATTGTTTTTTAAATTTAAAAAAAAAAAAAAAAAAAAAAAAAACAAGTTTTTTTTTTAGAAAGGCCAGAATCCAATCCAGGCAAGGTAAATATATTTTAACCCTTCAAAATCGATACATTGATGGCGGATACCTTTTATATGTTTTGATTCATAATTATGAGCGAAGACAATAATTATAATGTAACAAAAATTTATATTGCCTAAATGAAAAAAACGATAATTTATGATAAATATATATTACGATTAATAAAATGAAATGAAATAAAATTAAAAATACCGGCAAATTCCTCCTTTATATTTACCCGAATATTTGTAGCAAAATAAATTTATATCATATAAACTAAAATCTATTTACAAAAAACAATGGTTCTAACTTTAAATTATATTGGATTTGGCTTTACTCGACGTTAACGTGCTCATACAACGCATTCAATCGAATAACACAATAAAGTTTTTTTTTTTTCAGGTAATTTAGCGCTAAATAATATACTTATGTTATACTAATATTCGGAGCAAATCTTTATAAAATTATGTTTCATGACACTAAATACAGATTAAAGAATTACTGTAGAAAAATTATATATTTAATTTATATGTCAAGTTTTTCCGAGTAAAAGTATAACGTCATCAATGAAACAAAAACAAAAGAAATACTTACAAATTAAGCTTTTTGTAAATTGTAAAGATTTATATTTTGTAATTACAAAAAAATATATATATATCGCGTCT